AACTCAGGTGGCAAGCTCGAGGGGATTTTACGGTTAGTCGATGCGTTGATTTAGCAGGCCAGCGGGTGTTTGATTTCTTGAATTATCAGGTGAGGTATCCTTGGGAGGTGTCTCAAATCATCAAGTGGATTGAAAGATTATCTGTGTAATCAGAGAGTTCAAGTGAAATGTGAGATATTGTTAGGCCGGACGCCAGCACAGTCATCTGCCTCTGTTTGAACCGTAAAATGACTTTGAGGTTTGAATTCGAACATACGTTAGACTACAGCAGAGGTAGAGACAAAGTACGAGGTGTTCAGCGGTGTGAGTACTCCAGAGCTGAGGTTCGTTGAGGTCACCAATATTGTACACTTGACGTTATGAAGTTGAAGTTGTAACGTTATGAATTGAAAGTGTTGATACAGTAATAGTGTCATTGATACCAGAGGTGGGTTGGTTAATCAGATCAGGCTCAAATCAGATTCTCATAATGTGTTGCTGTGACAAGCGTGCGGCCATGGACTCCTTTGTCTGAGTAAGTACAAAGCATTAATTCCTACAGTGAACTATTTTGATTGTTTGGTTTGACAGTTACTTTGTATAATATAGTACTCTGACCACTTCAGCGCTTACTAGGGGGGAGGTAAAGCCATTTATGTGGTTTGCGATAACTTACCCCTGGTGAAGCAATTAATCCAGGAGAGTTAGCATTGAATGGACTCAATGGGGGTAGGACGGAGCCCCAGCTTACAAAACTACGGGCTAGAAATAATGTGTGGATGTGAAAACTTCCTCATTGAAACACTATTTCGGGTCAAATCAAAAGTACTCCTGTTTGACAGTGAATAGGGAATTATACTTTGAGTAGGTACCAGTACAATGCATCTGAGCATGGCGGCTTTAGGATACTGTAAACAATTGTTGATAAAACCAATGTGTGGAGAGATAGACGTCGTTTCTTTATCGTTAGCCAATACGCCACGCAATAACTTCAATTAACGTTATACTAGTACTCCATGATCCCTAGGAGCACGTATACCGCGAAGAATAGGAGATTGCGAACTTATATCGGGAACTTATCAGGATAACTCAGGTTGTCTGGTGGGGTACCACTATGCGCGACCCCAATTGTGCGGCCAAGATACCTTTCGGCCCTCCACGAAGAAATCCCCGACAGCAGGCAAAGAGCATGTGTCAATACCTGCTCGAAGTGCAAGTGAGATACTATGTATGGTGGCCAAAGGGTAGAACGTCATTATTAATGTGTAGTCGAGTTATATTTGCATATCATTCCCTCAACACAGATAAGTTCCAATTCCCAGCTGTCGGTAAATCCCACTCCTCCAAGAAAACTCTGATAATGTTCCTGATAAATTACAAGTACCTATGTTCAACGCAAACTACTTAGTACAAAACATGAAATGTAGTACGACGCATGTGGCACTACAAATCCAATCATGCCGGCCAAACCAATATGCAGGGCCAGCCGAATGTATAGCTTGCAGCCTGAGTTCACACCCTGATCAGTTATTTACCCAAAGACACTGTTTGGCTTAGCGTTCATTTTCCAATTGCCACCATGAAGTTCGCATTCGCCCTCGCCACCATCGCCGCCGCCGTCTTGGCCCAAGATGACGTCGCCCCCGACAACAACTTTATCGAAATCGTCGGCGGCACCGAAGCCAAGGTCGGCCAACACCGGTACCTGGCGGGCCTCAAGCGGTCGGCCACGGCTACGACCAGCTGCGGCGGCAGTCTGATCGCCCCCAACGTCATTCTCACGGCGGCACATTGCACGGGCAGCGGCCTCACCACCGTCGTCGTGGGCTCGCACTTCCTCTCCGGCTCGTCCGACGGGGAGCTGGCCAAGGTCACCAAGGAGATCCGCCACCCTAAATACGTGGCTTCGACCAACGCCAACGACGTGGCCATCCTCCTCTTGGACCGCAGCATCACGACCATCGCGCCTGTGGCGGTGTCCTTTGAGACGGTTCCTGCCGACGTTGTCACGTGGGTCCGCGGCTGGGGGCGCACGACGTCTGGCGGCATCCAGTCGCAAGTGCTCAAGGAGGTCAGCGTCACGACCTGGTCCAACGCCAAGGCCACCACGGCACTGCGCCCCTACACCGTGGACAACACCATGTTGGCTGCGGGGGGAAAGCAAGGCGAAGACTCGTGCCAGGGCGACTCGGGGGGACCGCTGACCATCGAACAGAACGGCGTCGCGCGCCTCGTGGGGGTGGTCAGCTGGGGCATCGGCTGCGGCGACCTCAACAAGCCCGGCGTGTACAGCCGCTTCAACACTGCTCGCGCCTTCATCGAGCCGTACTTGAAGAAGAAGAACTTGCGCGTGCCTTACTTGGTGAGCGAATTCGCTGAAGAAACCGATGAGGTCGTGGTGGACAGCGACGTCGTGTCGGCCCCGGAAGGGGGAAACTAAACGTGCTGTACTTTGTTTGTTGTGTAACGTTAGTTGGTCCAAATTAACTGGAAATACTGTTGGTACGACTGTCAATAACGTGTTTGTCATGTCTTCGAGTTGGCTAAATGGTTACTTACATACTCAGGTTAATAGTGGCTATTAATAGTGTTGTATGCTGGCAGCGATTAAGCGAAGCATTTACCGAAGCAACAGAAGGTTAGAAGGAATGTTTGTATAGCGTTGTATGTACTATGTCGTACTTCGAAGTATGATGTATTGGCATGAGGTAGTACACACTTCACTGTTCGAGAACGGCGGTACAATGACGTGATAGTGTTAGCCATTGGATAACCTGTACGATGTATCGGAACGGGGATTGAGTTATCTCCAACTCCTCCGACCTGATGACTTTTTGTACGCACGCATCGACATGTTGAGCACTGTATAACGATATAGCAGTAATTCGGTAGGACCAACTTGTATCCGGAGACGTTGTAGGTATACTGTAGCTTGGCACAACATCCATTTAACGGCATCGCATGGCAAGGTACAGTGTAAGACTGATCATCAACGTCCGACAAATGGATGGATCTCAACTAATATGGGGTTTCATTCATCAGGGATAACTTGTGGAGGAGCAAGCTGGATACGACATGGCACATCGTGGATTGATGCGAATGCCACCGTCGAAACCACGTCACAGGTTTACACTGTAACAAGGCTTCATATGTATTGATGATCTCTGGATTTCCGAAGCAATTCTTTGTAGCTTTGACTTTCAGGAGGTCATGAAATACTCCAAAGTGTCCGTGAGCATTGTATTAATGTATCGCATCGGTGGCAGTAAGCCTTGCTTGTGTTGAAAATGTCAGGCAACGGAACATCAGGTCCAGATCAATTATATGCTCCTGATATCAACTACAGTACTCCGGAGTAATTGGGGCCGTTTTTAGCCACTAACTACTTCAAAATAATATGATGCACATCGCCTCATTTCAAGTTAGAAAAGGGATATACATGGTCTCGATTCAACCAAATTTGCACTTGCAACTAAGTTACAGTCGAATTCTCTTCCACTATAACTTGAGGTACGGCACTGTCATTTCAAATTTAACATTTTGCGACAGCAGAGGAAAAGGGGGCTCTCATGGAATGCCATGGGCATGATCAGAGCCCTGGTAGCACCTGTAGAAGGGGGGTGGAAGTTAAGGCACTGTCACACATAGTGGCTATTCACCACGGCAAGTGAGTTCGTTGAGCTAGGCTAAAGCACGCCTCTTACAGCGTTCAGATCGGATGCAATCTTCTTTGTGGAGATTTCAAAAGCATAGGTGAGCAGTTATAGTGTATGAACAACGTACAAGCTTAGCCAATTAAACGTGCCCGAAAATGTACAGTACTGTACGAGAAATAAAATCTTTGAAAAGTGCAAAACGTGACTTGTAGGCCATTTACTGTATTAATATATTGGGTTCTGATCCGGGAATAACACATATTGAAACATTTACTACACGTGTATATTGGTAATTCGATTTCAAAATGGACTGGGGCTGCAATCGAATCGACGAAGCAAAATCGACGACGCAGTAATCGACGGAACGAAGTAGCCAATCAAATTTTCGAAGAAAGACCTTTTGACCAATCAAATTGCAGGCGAATCCAGTGCATCTCCATTTAAGGAGTTCAACTTTGTATCGGACAGGAATGTATATTGAAGTATTTACGATGTAGTACTACTACTCCATTCGTTCTTAATGTAAAACAAACACAGTTTTCATTGGTTTTAGCGTCGTACATAATCACTGTTCAGAGTCATATTAGTATCACTCGGAGGCAGCGAGTAGATAGATGCTTGATGGCTTGGTAACTACTGGATCTTGCTCTCGACCTTGGGATGAGCTAGGTCCGGGCCGTTCCACAACGGCACCACAGCCGTCGGGTTGATTTGAATGTGGCTCATATAGTAATGGCGCTACGACCTATGTTTAGTTGGTCCAACTAACTACTCCTTCGGCATACCTTGATATGGGTCATGTCCACGGTGGCCGCCACCCCCGGCAATTGGAACAAGCGACGAGCGTGTTGGAGCAACTACGTCCACCATGGTCAACAACAATGCAAAACATACCAGTACTATTAATACTTCGGTAGTAGTAGTCTTCGAATTGCATTAACAGTAAAGTATTACTACGTAGTACTACATAGACATCATCCATCCATAGTAGTACAGTATACTAGTAGTAGTATTAAAATAATTATATTTTACTCCGGAGTACTAAAATTTAAAAAACAAATAGTACGGCGGAGAAATAGTCATCCAATATCATAGTCCATATCATTTTTCAAAGTGCACATATCAATCACTGGGCCATTGCGTTGTGTAGAAGTACAAGTTCATAGTTTCAAACGAATCGCGTTTATCGGACGCCGTGGTCATGACAAATCGAGTTATTTTGTTCGTACATTGGGGTAATCGGACGAAATCGTTTTCAGGTTGCACTTGAAGTGGCCATGGTACACTGGATCAAACCGTACAATGGTCGTGAACAGCCGAATATCCGCCTACAGTTACTTGATATAAGCACCACAAAAATACATGTTACAAGAACAGTACCTCGGTCAACTGATCCTGGACCAACCACACTCTGCCATCCAAGTGCGCTTCAACCCGGTCTAATGCCGCGAACAACGCCACGACGTTCTTCTCATACGCGTCCTGCTTGGTGGCAAACCCCGCTTTGTACACGCCGTTGTTAATATCATGGTAAATCCATTCGTTGATGGCGTCGATGTCCGACAGCAGCGCCGCCGGCGCCAAGTCGAGCGTGGGATGCGTGGCCAACGCATTGAACTGGGCGTTCAACATGCGGATGATCTCGCTGGATTCGTTGTTCACGATCGTGTGTGTCTTGAGATCCCACAGAATCGGCACCGTGAACCGACCCGTGTATTCTGGCTCGGCCTTGAAGTACAACTCCCGCACGTACTTTGCATGGTTGAACGGGTCCAAGTTACAGCCTGGGGTGTCCTCGGGGGAGCTGAAGTGCCACCCGTCCTTCCCCATGAGGTAGTCCACCACTGTGTACCCAATCACATGGTCAAGACCCTTCAGCGCCCGGACAATCAGCGTCCGGTGGGCCCACGGACACGCCAGCGACACGTACAGGTGGTAACGCCCCTTCTCGGCCGGGAACTTGTCGGTTCCAATCCAGTTGCGGAAAGAAGAAACTTGGCGCTTGAACTCGCCGTCGGCTTGGCTAGCCCACTTATAGATGGAGGACGCGCCCGGAGGGGTTGATGTCGACGTCGCCATCCTGTGTGGCGGATCAAAGTGCAAACTGAGCCATAGCGAACGGTCGTAACCGTTGTGAGAAGGATGTTCTTTGAAGGAAGGATGTTCCTAGGAAGACTGGGAATTTCACCAAGGAATAAACCCCAACATCGATTCGATAGGGCAAGTGTTGTGGATATCAAGGTGGGGCAAAAGGAGGAATTGTCCTGTTCGTATCCCACCGCATATAACGAACCATGAAGCAAGGCTTTGATTGGCTAAACAATTAAATCTCCGTGATTACGACAATTTCCAAAATATTACCTGATTGATAAACATGAGTACTACGTAGTACTAGTACTACGTAGTACTAGGTACTATTAATGCCAAAAGTACAGATTTATACTTCCGGTACTACTGTATTAATAGTACTAACCTTTTTGCAGTTAACAGCAAGTTGGACGAATGCCCGATATATTTGGTCGTGTGCCCGATATATTTGGCGGTGTGCTCGATATAATTGGCTATGTGCCCGTTAAATTTAGCGCCCGGATGTCGTGTACCCGATATAATTAACCGTGTGCCCAAGCAATTACCCATGTGCGCGAAGAATTGTGTCGTGCGCCCGATGAAAATGGAAATCACGCAATAAAAAGTCAATTCAATATAGAAATGGTACGACACTTGCCACATCGTTGCTGTGACGTCACATACCAACGCCCATGTTGCCCATGGCCTCCGCGCGTCCATCGAAGGTCCGTACCTTGAGGTAAATTGAAAAATGACGTCTGCGCGCGACAGATTCAAGTTTTGGACGGAGTTGAAGTACTACACCATTTTTCATTTGACTTGGACATTTTCTCGATGGATTCGGACAGGTCACTATTGGATTTAGTGACGTGCCCATTCGAATGAATTAGTGCCCAATGGATTTGGTACCCACGTTCTGGTGTGCCCATTGGATTTGGCACGACCCCCTCGTGTGCCCATTCGATATGCCCATGCGCCTTATAGGATTGGTTTGTACCCAGCCAAACAACCTTTAGATCCTTCAAAAGTGTCGTGCTTGCATTCAATTAGGAAAACTCAAAAATGAATTCAATAAATCATCCAAAGGATGAAAATAAAACATTTGCAAGGGTTCATAATGAACCGTCTTGTACGTGAACACACGTTTGTCGAGTTCACGATGCAAAGTCGAGTGGGCACCTGGATGCCCAAATCAAGCGCCAATCGATCTTTGATCTCTTAGAGCGTGATTTGGACGTCATGCTCCACCCAACTTTGCAGCATGTCGACGTTTTCCCCCGTCAGGAGTTGTGATTTGTTTTCCCCTACATGATAATGTTAGATCGAGTAGACTCGACTTTCATACCTCGTTGTTTCGGCGTCAATGAGTCCAGATGCAGCCAATTTCGTGCGCTGCTGATGTTGACGCCGTTCGCTTGAGCGACGCGCTTCCAGTCCATCGCGTTGTTGAACGCATCAACTACACTGTCTGCGCTTCTTGGTCGACAACGGAATGCGTTTGTACGTTCGTTTGGGTGGCGTTTGGGGTGCTGTGTTCTCCGTGGTTGACTGTCATGCGGAAGATTTGATAGTGACGAAAAGCGCGCGAGAATTGTAGAACCCCCCCCTCCGATGTTCTAGAAAAAGCAATTGCCAACTGTAAAGAGTGCACGACACTTTTGAAGGATCTAAAGGTTGTTTGGCTGGGTACAAACCAATCCTATAAGGCGCATGGGCATATCGAATGGGCACACGAGGGGGTCGTGCCAAATCCAATGGGCACACCAGAACGTGGGTACCAAATCCATTGGGCACTAATTCATTCGAATGGGCACGTCACTAAATCCAATAGTGACCTGTCCGAATCCATCGAGAAAATGTCCAAGTCAAATGAAAAATGGTGTAGTACTTCAACTCCGTCCAAAACTTGAATCTGTCGCGCGCAGAGGTCATTTTTCAATTTACCTCAAGGTACGGACCTTCGATGGACGCGCGGAGGCCATGGGCAACATGGGCGTTGGTATGTGACGTCACAGCAACGATGCGGCAGGTGTCGTACCATTTCTATATTGAATTGACTTTTTATTGCGTGATTTCCATTTTCATCGGGCACACGACACAATTCTTCGCGCACATGGGCAATTGCTTGGGCACACGGCCAATTATTATATCGGGCACACGACATCCGGGTGCCAAATTTAACGGGCATAGTCAATTATATCGGGCACATGGCTAATTATACTAGTATCGGGCACACCGCCAAATATATCGGGCACACGACCAAATATACCGGGCATTCGTCCAATTTACTGTTAACTGCAAAAAGGTGTACAGGGTAGTACATATGTTGGTTTTGGGTTTACTGTTAATTAATGTAATGTAGTTAGTACATATGTTGGTTTTAGGTTTACTGTTAATTAATATAAGAAACTGTACTACCGGTAGTACGGTAGTTACTTCGAAGGATTAGTACAATTTACTAACAGTAACGCCAACCAGAATCCTCATGGGAAAGACGGGCGCCGTGGCCTATTGCCAGTCCAAGGTGGACCAAATGTTCGGCGAACTCTTGAAAGCCCGACTAATTGGATGCGCAGCTCCATCCCAGCAACTAGGTGCTGAATGATCCGCTGTGGGGCCTGTTCAATGTGTCGGTGAAGGCCGCTGGTGGGTCGAAGAAGACTGCGCTAGTGCGAATCAAGTTGGATGCCGTCGGGTAGGTGTCCGAACGCGACGCGGATTTTCTGCGGTGAAGGACACGTTGCAGCAAATGGTGCCGCTTTCGCATCCATCTACTGACAAGATCATCTGCCTTTATACCGATCCCAGCGACACGGATTGGGTTGCTTTCTGCACCCTGGTCCCGTCCGAAGACCTGAAATTGGTCATGGTGGGTTTGGCGGGGCAAGTGCCCGGTGGTCGATGGTGGAACAGGAAGCGTTTGCGATCGTCGAGACGTGCAAACGACTGAAGTACCTGCTGCCGGAGCAGCAGGTATTCAGACTGTTCACTTAACACCGCAATTTTCTAGCACCAGCTAATCCGATACTAGCTAAGCCTGCACTAATTCAAAAAAATTTAAAACATTATTAATTCATAAATTTAAAATATTAATATTTTTTTTATTTATTAAAACACCTTTAAAATCTTTTATAAAAATTGGAGCAAATCTTTAAAATTTATCTTAGTAAAAAAGCGAAAAACGGGATTCCATAAATTTTGATAATAATTGTGCAATTATTTTAAATAATCAAAATAAAATTTAAATTTAATAGATATAGTTTTAAATATTGTAATTAAACGTGTTATTACAAAAAAATTAAAATAAAGGTTTTTTTATTTGATAATTTAATTTCATACTTTTATTTATCATATTTTTAATTTAATAAAAACAATTCTAAAAAAAAATAGAATACAATATTCTTTTACATTTTTTTTAATAACCTCATAACTAGCTAAAAAGCAATTAAAATATTTCTTGACATTTTTTTTTTCTAGATTCTAAAATAAATTGATTATATAAACTTTTTATATATAGAAAATCAGGCAATAATTATAAAAAATTGGAGCAAATCTTTAAAATTTATCTTAGTTCGGATTATGGGCTGCAACTCGCCCATATTATTATTTTTTAAAAATTGTTTTATTTTATATAAGTATTTTTTAAATTAATTTTTTAAAAATTGAAGCGCCTAAAGGAGAATTTGGTGTTTTTTTAGAGCATGAATAACTGAACCTGCCCCTAAAAAAAGTAAAGCTTTGAAAGACAAAATAAAATAAAATTAATAATAATAACTGTAATAGCTCCTACATAAATAATAAGTTGTATGCATGAAACTATTTATAGATTAGTTTCTCTGATGGCGACAGCATTTATGGGTTATGTTTTACCTTGGGGACAAATGAGTTTTTGGGGATAAAATCTTGTAATAATAAGAGGAATTTCCATGACTTATGGGGTATATTTAGTGGCTAGATGTTCTCCTATTTTTCTTTCACGAGAACCCCAAATACCTATTGTGATTATAGATTAATGGTAAATCCTTTGCCTTCCATGGGAGATGACCGCCCCAGTCAAACTACCAACCAAAATAAATTTATTCCAACTTATTTACAAATTTTTTTTGAATATTATTTATTCTATAAATTATAAAAGTTTGATCATAAATTTTTTTTACCTTTAACTTTAGGTTGTTTTATAAAAAAGAAAATAAGTTGAATACTGATTTTTTTACCTTTATTAGGAGCTATTTTCGGGGGTTCAAGGTTGTATTTTTTAAAATTTAAATTTTTGAAATTATTAAAATATTTATATATATTTTTTTAATATATATGTTTTATAAGGATAGAGTGGGATTTGAACCCACTGCCGTGCTAAAAAATTAAAAAGACGTTAATTGTTTTGGGTTTATGCTAAAGTAGCATAACAAGTAGATAAAATTAATCTTAATTCACCAGAATTTAATCTAATTTTAGAATAACCATTGTCTAATTTTTGTAATAATTGTGCAGAAGTACCTGCATTTTGCATCTGGGTATATATTGACACTGTGAAACGAAAGCTTGGGTAGCGAACGGGATTAGATACCCCGGTAGTCCGCATCTTCACGGATAATTCAAATTCACTGAGTTTATGTTGGAGACAGTGGGGATGTCGTTACACCATTCATGCAGGTCAGAACTTACCCGACAAGGAATTTCGCTACCTTAGGAGTATTTTTTTTAATTTTAGTTTTTACAAATATGACTGGTTTATTATTAGTTGCTGAAGTAGAATTTTTAGAAGTTAAAGCTATACATGAAAATAAATAAAAAAAAAAAAATTTCATAATTAAAATATAACATTATTTTTTGAAATAGAAATTAAAATAACAAAGGTTAAAAATATTAAGCTTAAAAAAATTAATAAAGAATAATCTAGAATAAAAAATATTTGTATATTAACAGGTATAAACAGCTTTTTTTGCTAGTACAGTAGGATTAGTTCAAAATGATTTATTCTATTTTTATTTTTATAAAAATACAGTTTCTTTTACAAACAATTTCAAACCATCAGCTAAAGGTTGTAATAAACCAAAAGTATTATAATTGTAGGTAATAATTTTTTTTTTAACTAAAAGAATCTTTTTATATTTTTGAAAAATTTCAAATAAGAAATTTAAAATAAAATATTTTTTTAAACTTTCTAATAAAATAATAAATTTTTGAATAATATTATTTGTTCTTTTTAATTTTAAATTTTTAAAACCAGTTGTTTCAAAATTATCAATATTACAAATTTCATTAGAAGCGGTTGCTGCAACTATTATTGAAAAAAATAAAGCATTTTTTTCTTCTAAAGTTTTAGTTAACAGTGTAAATAGGGCATCCTTTACGTAAAGATTTTCCTTTAAATGGTTATTTAGAAGTATATTATAATGAATTAAAAAAAAGAGTAGTTTATGAACCTATTCAATTATCCAAAAATATCGATTATTTGATAAAAATTCTACTTCAGCAACTAATAATAAACCAGTCATATTTGTAAAAACTAAAATTAAAAAAAATACAGAATAATTTTTTTTTAATTTATTGAATAATTTTTAATTTGTTTTTCTTC